ATGTAACACGCTGCTTCACTGATCTTCCTTCTTCCATATTAGTGAAGTAAAATTGTTCTGCGTTTTGCTTCTTGAATTTTGTGTTATTAAGTTCATAATCTTTTCATCCTGTTTTTATTCCCCTGTCCTGAAAGCCCACAAACCTCCTAGTTGTTGAAGGAAAAAAATAAAAGTTAAATCTTTCTTGGACATATAAATTAAAAATTTCTGTGAAATTGCTGCTGCTGCATCTCTCCTAGAATTCTGAGAGACATGTATTCTGTCTACTCTTGAGAGGCTGTGTAATTTTGCTGTGGGTGAAAGGACATTATTTTTTCACTACAAAAGCTGTCTGGAAGGAGGCCAGTGTGTGGAAGATGTAAATATAGGGAACTGATCAGTAAGAATGTTCATTAAAACCTGCTATCTTTGTCCTGTTTACCACAGTACTCTGAATGCCCCTCTATTTCTGTATTCTTTTCTTCTGCATGTCATAGAGGTCATCCTCATGGTTTATGCTGTTGTGCAATTTAGCATTTTTAGTACAGTGTGATTTATTATGTTTTTAGTGTTGTTAAAAGGTTCTTGAATGTACTAAATTTTAGGACTTTTTAAGTATGTCTTGAAACAAATATTTAATAGTATTACTTCAAATTGATTTCCTATTTGTTATATAGGCTCATTATTTTAAAAAAATTAGAACAGAGTTAATCTTGGGTGAGTCACTATACTGTTTAAAACAAGGATTAAGTGAAAGTCTGCATACTGTAATATTGAACTAAATAGCTGCCATGCTGAAATTAACTCTGGTGGATAGTTTGTTAAATGTAGCTTTCTGGACTTTTTACCCTGTATATACAAGGAGATACATCCATATATATTTTACATAAAGTTCTGTAACTTTCTCTATTTTATCAATATCATGGATGTCTTTTCATGTCATGACTTATGTATCTGCCTCATTCTTTTTAATGGCTTCTTAGTGTTCCATTGTTTTTGGGTGTACCATCATTTAAAAAATCAGTCCCTGATTATTTGACATAGATTTATAGTTTTTTTCCTTTTGTAACAAATGCTTCAGTACATACATCTGAGTGTGTGTGTGTGCGTGCATATGTGCATTTGTGTGAATGGAATCGTTAGGGTAAAGATTACGTAAGCTGGGCACAAACAGGAGCACCTGTAGCCCCAGCTACTCAAGGCTGAGGCAGGAGGAAGAAGGATCAGATGAGCCCAGGAGTTAGAGGAGGTAGTGTGTCATGATTGTGCCTGTAAATAGCCACTGCATTCCAGCCTGGGCAATGTTTTTCTTAAAAAAAGTATATAAGCTTGAACTTATGATATGTCCTTACAAATTTTTAAAACT